CACCATGCGAATGCTGAGACGATGACAAAGCTCAGGGTTCAGGGTTTAGGGGCCTAAAATCCTGAACCCTAAACCCTAAACCCTAAACCCCTAAACCCTAAACCCCTAAACCCTAAACCCTAAACCCCTAAAATCCTGAACCCTACAACCCTAACCCAAAGAAAGTTGTCGCAGAACGGCTGTACGATGGAATTGGTGCTAGCTCAACCTTTAGGGTTTAGGCATGCCTGGGGTTTGGGGTTTAGCGTTTAGGGTGTAAGGTTTAGGGTTTAGGGATGTCCAGGGTTTAGGGGTTTAGGGTTTTGGGATTAGGGTTTAGGGGTTTTGGGGTTGTTTAGGGTTTAGGGTTTAGGGATGTCCAGGGTTTAGGGGTTTAGAGGTTTAGGGTTTATAAGGTTTAGGGTTTAGGGATGTTTAGCGTATAGCGCGTACCAGGCTCAGGGTTGAGGCCCGACTGCCGCCAAAAGAACTGGTGGCAGAAGGTTTCCCGGTCAAGGACATACTCAGAATCAAACCGTCTTCATGCGGCCTTCAGCCTGTTTAGGGTTCCGGGTTCAGGGTTTTATGCTTCAGGGTTTACGGCCCAGGCTTACTCAGAGATGCAGATCCACAGGGCCCCTAAGCCCTAAACCCTAAACCCCTAAACCCTAAAACCCTAAACCCTAAACCCTGAACTTATGATGATCGTTAATGTTGTCATTGTTGTACAAAGTTTAGAAGAGCACTTTGCTTCGCAGCAGCCGGAAAGGCGAGATGCACAATATAGCTGGGCTGAAGTTCAGTCCATACAGTGCACAACACGATCCTTCAATGCCGAAAAGTTTGAAGGCTGGCTTAAAGGTCAGGAATTAGGGTTCAGGGTTCAGCCTTGCGCAAGCCCATAGACCCTAATGAAACCCTCATTAAGCCGTCGAATTTGCGGGCTAAGGGTGCATGAATCAGGCTGCCCTTGAACCTGCCCCTGAGGTCCTTGATAAGTAGCAGCTCAGATCCCGAACTCTTTAACTGTGATCCCTAAACCCTAAACTAAACCCTAAACCCTAAACCCCTAACCCCCTAAACCCTAAACCCTAAACCCTAAACCCCTGAACCCCCAAACCCTAAACCCGAAACCTTAAATCCTAAACCATACACCCTAAACCCCTAAACCCCTGAACCCCTAAACCGAAAACGCCTGTGAACCTCTATTTGAGGGTCTAGGGTGCTGGTGCCAAGCCCTGAACGCGGATACACCCCTGGAGCCAGACCCCAAAGCCGTGAACCCTCACGGTTTAAGGTTTAGGGTTTAGGGAACACGCCAAAACCCGAAACGCCCCAACACCTGAAACCCAAAAGCCCTGAACTCAACTCCCTACAACCTAACAAGGCCGAAGCTGCCCTGAAGATCCCCAAGAGGTCCCCCAAAACCCTAAGCCCCGAAACCCTAAACCCTAAGCCCCTAAACCCCTAGACCTCGAAACCCTAAACACTCAACCCCTAAACCCTAAACCCTAATCCCCTAAACCCCTAAGCCCCTAAACCCCAAAAGCCTGCGGCGAAGAAGCCCCCCGTCTTCGAGAGAAGGAGCTCGACGAAACGGGGCCGTGGCCTGGGGACCACGGCACCAGAAACGGACCTGGGTTTAGGGTTTATTGTTTAGGGTTTAGGGTTTAGGGTTAAGGGTTTAGGGTTTAGGGTTTAGGGTGCAGAGTTTGCATGGCCGGAGGGATTCGGGGACAATGTTTCGGGCTTCGGGCTTAGTGGTGTAGGGTTTAGTGGTTTAGGGTTTGGGGTTTGGGAGTTGGGGGTTTAGGGTTTGGGGGTTTAGGGCTTTCGAGGTTTAGGGGTTTAGGGTTTGTTGTTTTAGGGTTTAGGGTTTTGGGGTTTTGGGGTTTAGGGTATGGGGATTTCCTTCCCAGAGACTCCAAAACCCCTCAGTTTAAGGAATATACCTTACATCATAGGGGGATCTTTATTATGTCTTGAAGTATATTCCTTAGTTAAAAAGTCTCTGGACCCTAAACCCTAAACCCTAAACCCTAAACCCTAAAGATTGGGGCTGAGGGTTTGGGGTTTAGGGATTTAGGGATGAG